GTCCTAGGTGGTAATATACAAAGACAGCTAGTCCTAGGTGGTAATATACAAAGACAGCTAGTCCTAGGTGGTAATATACAAAGACAGCTAGTCCTAGGTGGTAATATACAAAGACAGCTAGTCCTAGGTGGTAATATACAAAGACAGCTAGTCCTAGGTGGTAATGTACAAAGACAGCTAGTCCTAGGTGGTAATGTACAAAGACAGCTAGTCCTAGGTGGTAATGTACAAAGACAGCTAGTCCTAGGTGGTAATATACAAAGACAGCTAGTCCTAGGTGGTAATATTCAAAGACAGCTAGTCCTAGGTGGTAATATACAAAGACAGCTAGTCCTAATATATAACTAAATGTATTGTACTCCTGTTTGATAAAAACATGTTAACATACAAAACAAAAGAAAGAGACTGCGCTCCGTGGTTGTGTGTTTTATATGTATGAAGAAACTAAGAATGTATTTTATTAAGAGACATTGATCTATTCAGCAAATTATGATAGGTATGATTTAATAAATAATTTTTTTTTTATTTTTCAGGACCAGTACCAGTTCAACTATCGAGCGGCGTTGGAGTACCTGGGTTCATTTGACCACTACGCAAACTGAGATCTCACAATAGCTTTGAACACTGTACAAAATAGGATTATATGACGAACGGAAAGAACTTTTTAACCTTTGTTTTACTGTGAAAATTAGGAGCACTAATGCAAAGACGTTAGGATGTAGATTTAGAAAGCAGAACTTATTTTAACAAGGATAAACTCTGATGCTTACCAGACTTGTTTTATTTCCCATTCTGATGGGTTGATCACCAGGATGCTATTATGTGGATAAAGAAACAGGATAATATTGTGTTGTAATAAACACTTTATAAACAATTAAACCTGCTAAGAAAATCAACCCGCTTCCACTGTGCCTGGAATTGAAGAAACTGAAGACAACAAAATCTCTATGGTATAGAATAAATTAGAACTGAAAAAGCCTGATTCTTTTTGTATCCATACGAAAAATCTTCAGGTACTTTTTTATTTCTCACAGAAGAAAGAGATAGCAATTCCTGTAAATTTGATTGCTATGTGTGTGTGTGTGTGTTATATTACGCTGTGTTCAATGTCACTATAGACCTTAGTTAACGTAGTCTCTTGATAACAAAAACTAATGAGATGTGTATTTAAGTTTCATAATTTCATTTTCCCCACAAGAGACTTAAACTTTACACCCCTGCATTCAGAGTATTTTGAATCACCTCGTTATTTTGAGATTCGTTTCTCATCATTTATGGGTGAAATACAGTAAATATATCTGTTTTATTATTGCAGTACATATTGGAGGGTATTTTATTGTTTGTGCTTGTATTATATTTGGCACAATTCGCTTGGAAAATAATGCAAACTTTTTTTTTGTTATACTATTTTTGTAATATATTTACTGTTCATTATTAAGTACCGTAACAACAAATTGGTGTTTTGTTTTTTTTAAAGTCCTTAAAAAAGAAAATTGAAATATTTTTGTATAACAAATTTATGAAAGTTGAAAAAAAGCCAATCAACGCATTTTTTATTATAATTGAGTTGATGTTTTAATGAAAATTAGTTGGAAGTATTTTATTATTATTATTCATATAGGTTCCATTTTGGGATTCTTTTATATTGGTTTAACCTGTCCAGTTTGTGGTGGGGATCATTTTTGTTTTTCCTCTGTACTTATACCTCATACAAATACTAGGTCTTGGTAACAAACTTTCTCACTCTGATACAAAGTGTGTTTTCACTGCCATTGGTTGGTTAAAGGCAATGATGTCTATAGTACTTCAAGTACCTTTCTACAAAAAGTCTTTCTCAGTTCACATCCCCTCAGTGTATATTTCTATTGAAAGGAATACTCTAAATCATTTTTTTTTTTTTTATTTTTTCTATTGATATTTTTTTTTCAGTTTTTGTTGATGGTAAACTGGTAAATTTCCACATTGTTCATTGCGTGCAAGTACGATGTAATCCTGCAAAACCAAAATTTAATAGCTATGCATTTTAATTATTTTTTATTATTTATTATCTTATAAGTATAATTGATTGACAATAACCCGGGTTTGTTTGGAGTCACATAATATGGTGGTGGGTTTTATCACGGTTGTCTCATCCTGAAACTTCAAATGTAATGTAATGTAGTTGGCAATTTTGGACCTCTGACCTCAAATAATCGACATCATGTGTTGTATGCAAATTATGTTGATGCAAAGTATGAATGGTGTCATGACAACAAATCATGGTGAACATCGACATCGTACTAAAAATTGCACACAATTGTAGTCAGTTAGTGATTGTACAGCAAAACGTAGCAGTGTTACGGCTTTTATTAAAATCACTGTATATTGGAACATGCACTATTCAACGACCAGTGCCGCCTTATAGGATACCCCAGGACATTCATTGCCATTTACTTACATTTGAGGATCTGTGGTGTTTTAACCATTTTATGACGTAAAGCTTGTTTGATTCCATTTTGGATGTTAATATAATGATATTTGCTTGTACTAACAAAACATTGACCTACAAATGTTGACATTTGTGAAAAGTTCTTATAGCTAACCTCACATTAACACGATTAGGTAGATCCATGCAGCTGATTAACGTCCTTCTGTCCAGTGAACAGTTTAGATGTTTACTGAGACAAATATGGTAAAACATTGATGTCCATTACAGTTTTATGTCAGCTGTATGTCTGTTAAAATAACCATGTGACTCCAAACTACCCAACTATTACATTGCTTTATGCCTATGTAGCAAAACATTTTATTTTATTTTTAATCAGTATTGACAAGTAAATTTATATACTTTCATTTTGGAGAAGTATCAATAATGATGTTTCCATGGGAACAGTAAGTATAGCAAGTGGCAAGTTGTATATTTCAGTTTGCTGAAAGGTTGGTTGTTGCCACTCTATGTTTGATTAAAATTAAATAATGCCGCTTTCTAACACTTTATGCTTATAATAACAGAACCGTGGATCGGATCTTCATTTATAGTGTTGATATTTTCATTCTACACTTGGGGCAAACAATCATCAAGTTTAGTCTAGTTTGACATTCAGTCTTGGTGTTCTATATATTTTATTGACGTTAATAGTAATTTGGTTATTGGGGCCGTTAATTGTACCCACCTGTGTTATATTTTGAAAGTTTTAAATGTATAAAATTTGTGTAGGAAACTCATACTTGGCTCAGAAATGCCAATTGTTTTTTTTTTACAATTTTATTTTCAGTGGAAATGTTCTCGATATACTACTTAAAACAATGTAATATAATACTTTGTAGTTAAGAAAGTTGATAGGACCTGATGTAACACTTTTCCTTGGATAATTTAATCAATCATTTACTTTTCATCACTTGTGTAGCTTCCTAGTTTTGTCTTTAGAAAGTACCCTACCTGATCCTGGTCAGTACGTGGTTATATTACTTCTCTGGGTCATAGTGTCCTTATTCATAATTCACATATGCTGTACAAATTTTGAGGGTTCTAGAGGGGTGAAGAGGCTGTGTCATAGATTCTATCATGTGTGATATTATTCATTTTAGTCAAAGTTTACAAGTTCCTACCATCACCATATTTTATCATGTTGGCATTGTTATTCTCTTTAAAACACGAAACCAATAAAGAATGATTAATGTCATTTTCAGCTGTTTATTGTTTTTTGTTTTTTTTTCATTGTTAAATACTAAACAATTTAAGGTAGCGAGACTATTATTTGTGTTGAAAATTACGATTTTCACATTTATTTATTAATTGATGAAATGCACTATAAACTTTCATATGATAAAGTCAACATAACATAGAATGTCATGTAAGTTGGTTAAAATGTAGATTTTCTGAAGGGAAGCAAGGCAGCCTCATTAGTGTTTTCCAAAATCAACAACACAGGTTTAATCTGTGTGCCTATAAGTTTCAAAGATAAACTCAAGACAAAGCAATGTTAGGATGTGTTATCAGTAGCTTTCTGACACACATTGAGTGTTTCCAATCATTTCAGTGGTTTGTCTCCACCCCTGTTTGTTTCAAAGATTAGTCATTTGAATATGAATGTATCAACACAAGGTCACACAGCCACTGAAAAAAAATCATTGATTTTGGTATTCTCATATGCCGATTTTATCGAATTATAGCTATCCCATTCCTTTATTTTTTTGGTTTCCAATAGCCTTACACATTTGGATGCCCCTACACATGTTAAAACATACCTTGAAGGGAAAACAAATCGTTTGTGCCGATAAACAAGCTTGAAAATCTTTGCTGTGACTTCATGGACGTTTTTCTAGAAGTTTATGTTTTTCAAAATACAAAGGTCTTTAACAAAAAATAACATATACTTATTGTGGTCGGATTAACACCAAATCTTCACAGCTTTAAGGTGACAATGAGAGGAACTTGAATGTGTCCAGACAAACTATTTCGTGGATTATTTACCAATGTGTTGTGGTTTGAATTAGGGGCAATGCGACTAAAACGGAAATTAAAATTCAGCACACTACTTTTTAAAACACATTGCTTGAATAAAACTGACAAGACACATTCAATTTACCAGATTATTGAACAACTAGGAAAAGTGAGAAAAAAACATGGAAATTGTCTACAGTACACGTATCTTTCGATGACGTATTTTATTTTTCTAGCCAGCCCAGGACGCCGTACAAACATTGTACTACGGTAATAGAAGGTAAGAGCTCTTGCCCTTTTCCACAAATTTTAATAAATTCTTAACAATTGCTTTACCTATAAAACTCTGCACACCATGCTTAGCCCTGAGTACAG